CAAAAAGAACACTCATCGTGCCCGGTCTTGAATCAACGCATAAATATAAACACGTAACACATGTGCTTGCAGAAATCAACTAACCTTTGTTTCTTGTAGGAGGCCAAGTCGAAAATCCACCGACTCAATTTGGACAGGTGGCCCACGCAATGCATAGTGGATCCGATGAGCCTGCTTGGAAACGGGCGAGGCCGTGGATCACACGCACGGGTGGGCTCGTTTCAATTTGTTTGCTCAAACCTGGGAGGGCCAGCTGGGGCGGCGGCTCCCTTCTAATTCCCTTTAAACTTGATTCCCGCGCTGGGATCCAGATTGAAGTGAACCCGGGTTTTCCCATCCTTTTCTGGTTGAACTTGAGGCCTCACCATTTGAAAGGACCCATCGATCATGGGGGGATTGTGATCGTGAGTTGTGATACCTTTGACACGCTTTGACACGGCATGACACGGTGTGACACGTGTCACGGCATCACTTTATGGTAAGGTTGCGCTCGCCCACAAACTTTTGATTGTTTTTTGGGTCGCCGGGATCACCGTGTCAGAGCGTGTCAGAGCGTGTCATCGTACTCATAGACCCCCCTCCGAGCGTGTCACGGCGTGTCACGGGTCGAACCGATGAACGATCACCTTTTGAAGCCATTTTGGCTTTGGTGCGGTTGTGATCCAAAGCTTGGTGGACATTCAGCGGCATTAGTTGGTGTGTTTTTGACATGAATCCCCATCCTCCCCAATGATCTCAACCAGCGACTTAGGATTGACGGACTGCTTCCACCTCGCTTCCTGCAAGCCGTCTTGTCCAGGCGTCTTGGAGGTATACTGATATCGATGGGTGGGGCTGTTGAATACTTGCTGACCTCTTTGTCAGGCGCATGGCGGCACCAAAGGCAGCAGCAAAGGCAGCAGCAAAGGGAAAGGGGAAAGGGAAAGGAAAAGCTTTGCGGGCCTTAGCAATCCTTGCAGCCAAGGGCAAGGGTGCAGCCAAGGGCAAAGGCAAAGGAAAAGGGAAGAAAGGTGAGAATGTGAAAGATACCTCTTACGCAGATCTTTTTGATGGTGGATCACCTCCAACCCTCATGGATGAAGAAGATGATGATGTTGAGGTAGAAGAAGAGCCAGAAAAGCCAGTAAGAAGGAAGGTTTCGTGGAGCAACCCGATTGTCTTGGGCGACGCCCCGTCCTCAGAGAAGGGCACCCCGACTCCAACTAGAAGTATCTTGCGGTCAACAAAGGACCTCGATCTGCAAGGGAGCGCAGGCAGAACCCCCAAGAGGGCTAAAGGAGAAGAAAAGGAGAACGCAGACCCAGCAGAAGAACAGGCAGCTGCGAAGAAAGAAAAGAAGAAGAAGAAGGCATCAGAAGAGGAGGAAGAGGATAATGCAGCCAAGAAGTCGAAGAAGCAGAGAGCAGAAGAGCAAGATGAGAAGGCAAGCAAGAAGAAAAGGGAAGAGAAGGACGGCAAGTTGAAGACGAAGCCAGTCGCAAAAGAACCAGAGCAGGAGGAGGAGGAGGAGGAGGCAACAAAGGGCAGCAAGAGGGATAAGTCGAAGGCTGCTAAGACGCCAAAGGAAGAGGAGGAGAACAACAAGAGAAAGAAGAATGCCAAGAAAGCTGCTGAAGAGGAGTGGAAAGAGGAAGAGGAAGTGGCACTGGAAGAGAAGAGCAAGAGAAGGAAGAAGAAAGCAACAGAGGAGACTAGCTGTTGTCCCACTCACTCAACAAACAATTTGAGCTTGATTTCAACTCTAGGAGCTAGCTATTGTGCCAGTCGCTGAGCCTGGGTCCAAGCAAGAGAAGAAATTTGTGGGGGAAGTTGGGCCTGCTTCAATTGTGCGTCTACGGACTAAAACGTCTGTGGAGAGCTTTGATGGTATGCCTACACCTGCCCGTCCGTCCCGACCGGCCAAGCAGACGAGACCATCCTCACCATCCAATCCTCCAATGTGTTTTGGTCGCACAATTCAGGTTGTTGAAAAGGGTTTGAAAGGGATGATTCTCTGGTTTGGGGTTTCCAAGTTTTCCCCAATCATCTGAGGTCAAGATCTCATTCTGCTGTGAGTGACGCCCGTCTAGATTTGGAAGCGTTGATCTCAAAATAACCACGGAAATTGAGTGGGTCTTTGAGCTTTTGATTCACCCTTCTCCCCGCTGGAAGCTCGCCTCGATCAGGATGGGACTTCGCCGGAGCTGCAGCATCCACGGGTCATGCAGAGGACGGCAGATGGGCGCAACATTCGTGCCACTTCCTTAGATCCGTTTCCCACACGCTATTTCTCCAAGCTCTTAAATTGTGACCCTTGAGGTTGGCAACTTGCCTGATGAGGAAAAGGACAAAATCATGTCAATGCAAAGAGAGAGTATGCCGATACAAGAACGGCGCGCTCGGTACAATGCGCTCGGTAGACGTGTCGCTCGAGGTGGCTTGAAGGCAGGGTTGCTGGAGAAGTACCAGGCTTCAAGTGGATCCAGCCGCTGGGAAATGGTCAAGGCCTTCATGTGTGATGAGGACATGTGCCCTCGATGCACTACTTCATTTCCCTCATGTGTGTATTCTCATTTTCTCATTGCCTGCGTGCCAGGAGAGGTTGAAAGTCCTTTCAACCTCTCCTGGTGTTTCAAGTGCCTAGGAACGACCTCGAGGTGGAAGCATACTATGTCCGGTAACTCGACTTTGACTATGAACAATCTATGCGAACCTTGTGGAGGACTTTTAAATGTCTCACGCTATCGCCCAGGGAAAGCGAGCAAAAGACAACGGACACCTATGATGAGCTCCCCCTTTTCCAAATCGAGGAGATGTACAATGGGACTCCAGCGGGGCGGACCCTTGGATTCAATTAGTTTTTGGACATGCATCGATCTGTGTAGAATGTTTTCGCTTCGTATATCTTCGTATTCACTTCGAACGTCTCCACCCAAACACCTGGCCAAGGGCGTACGTTGAACACATCAAGAAGAGCTGCGGCCCAAGCTCCATTGCAGCCAGTCCAATCGATTCATTGCGATAGTCCTTGGCTTGAGGCCAGAAAGGGAAGACAAACCCTGCGTTTCCGCCAGATGAGCAGTTCAAGATCTACAAGGTCTTCAAAAGAACCAGGTGTTGAAGGCAGGGGATGACTTAAGCTCGCTGTAGCCTCTTTGTTGTATATTGTATTGTCCCTCAACCAAGTTGTGGTTGCAGGCAGTGAGCTCACACGTGGTGGCACTGCTATCAGGGGTGGGGGCCGAGTGACTTCAGACCGGAAAGAAGGCCATCTCTGACATGGTTGACAGTTATGGCAAAATCCTCAAAACAGGGAAGGGTGTTGATGAGAAGAATAAGAACACAAAGCCCAAGAATCCTGAAGAAGAAGCAAGGGCTAAAGCCAAAAAAGATCTGCAAAAAGACATCAAACAGTTTCTTGCACGTATTTCAATTGGCTGCCACCTAACTTTTTGGTTTTCCTCCCAACCCCCAACTTTATTTTGGTCTTCGCCCCAGCTCCAATTGCCCGGCGCTCCGGCCAAGGCTGAAGGACAAATCCAACAAAGCCAGGGAGCTGGCAATGGATCTCCAAACGCTGGGAATCCCGCATCAAGAGGCACCATCTATTCAAACACTGCAATTTAGTAATGTTGAGATGAAAACCAAATGCATTTCGCTAGGCGATGCAGGAACAACTTCAAGAAGACCACACCTACCTCCGCCAAATTTCCCAGAGGTGCTTCTTACCTGCTTACAGAATGTTTTGAGGGGGGGTTGAGGGGGTCTCAATGCTACGTCCTTACAGGTTGGAGGACTTATAGTCTCGGACGGACAGTAGGCAGGGAATTTTCTGCCTACAGGGGGGTTATTTTTGGCCAATTTCGCCAAATTTCATTTTTGCCGTCGGTGAGGTTCTTGTGGACAGGGACTGCAGTAAGCAGGTTGGCAAAAATTTGGGGAATAAAATGTTTGAACTCAAATTTGTGAATAAAATGTTTTGTTTACGCGTATTTCCTTTTCTTTTTGCTTTCCTTTCCCTTCCCTTTCTTTGCTTTGACGTGAAAGATCCCAATTTGCATTGCTTTCACCTGTATATATATATATGTACACAGTATAGGTCCCCATGCTTTTGTCATTTGTTCTATTATCCTTTCCTGATCCCTTTTACCTGTCCCTTTTCTGGTCCCCGCTTCCCCCTGTCCTTGCCTCTGTTGTTTTTTTCCTTCCCTCCTTCAGTCCTTCTTGTTCCTTTCCTTTTCCATCTCCCTGTCCCCCAATTCCATCTGAAAACAATTCTCCAAATAATAGTGCCTGCAGTAAGCAGACCTAGATTCTGCTTACTGCAATCGTTCTTTTGCCTTGAATGCCTTTTTTGCTGCCTTCCTTCCTTCGTCCCCCACTTAGCCTTTGAAAGCAATTCTCCAAATAGCAGGACCTGCAGTAAGCAGCCCTGGGCTCTGCTTACTGCAATCACTCTTTGCCTTCCTTGCCTGCTCCTTTCCCTGTCATTTCTTGTCCTTTCCCGTTTTTGTATTGCTCTCAACTTACTTTCCCTATCCCTCTTTCTTCCCGTCCTTTCAAGTGAAATCTGATTAGCATATGGCAGGAATAGCGTGTGAGAAACAGAGTTCGCAGTTTGCATCACACGTTGCGCAAGCAGAGTTGTGATTTTCAATCATAGCTGTGACTGTGCTGTGATTTGCAGAGGCAATGGAGGATTTTCAATTTCAACGGCAGAGCCAAACTGAAAACAAGGTGCAGTAAGCAGACCGTACGTTTCTGCTTACTGCAGTTTGCTTTGTTGCTCGGTGACCTTTTTCATCTTTTCTTTCAGCCCTGGCGGATGCAGGAGAAGCAGTCTTAATACCCATGCTTGACCAGAGCCACTCAGAGATTTTCAATAGGTGTTTATAAAGTTCATGAATCCATATATATACATACATCTATGGCAACATATATGCACCTCCACAGCAGGGCAACACACGCAGGGCACGTTCCAAACTTTGAGCTGGAACCTTGCAGGGCGGCTAGCGCTTAGCATGTCGGACCCTTCTGATGTGCTTGTGAAACAATCCGCGTGGGCAGCTGCAGCGCTGAACAACCACCATGTTTGGGGGAAACATGGAGAAGCTGCGTCATTACTTTGGTCTCAAAAGACTATAGGGACAGGATCTATGTTTTCAGGCATTGGCTGCGCTGAACGTGCTCTTGCGAGCATCAATGCAGCCAGGAAACCTCTTTGTGAAGGCAAAATCCTCTCTGCCGCTTAGTCTTGGACATGATAAGTTTTGAAAGCGGCGCCAAGAAGGCTTTTTCAATCCCCGTGTGTAGTGAGTTCTGGGGAGCCGGAGATGGCTCTGGTTGTGTGTATATCCTAGGAGCCATTGTGGACGGTGGAGTGCGATGGGAAAGCACGCGCTGCCCAGAATGACATCATCCCGGAGACAACATGTAAGTTCTTGGATATTCGACACTTTATTGCCAAAGCTTCGTTGGATGAGATGGATTCAGTCAAGGTCAGCGCTGCTGGCAAACGCTTTAAGAAGTGGACTGCAATAGCCAAGGGAGCGGGCGTGTGTAAGGATGCATTCTGCTCCCAACACATGAAACAGCGACTCTTCTATACATCCAAGACTGTTGCACTTTCCTCCAAGAGATGCCTCTTTTTATCTGGTTATGTAGATAAGCTAAATAATGTGCATATATATATATATACATATATCGCTCTTGGCCCATACTGCTGTCCAGGTGTCCTATCAGACGTCCATTTCTCGACCTGAGCGGGTCTATGTGCACAGCCTGGTCAACAATGGGTAGTGGAGGGAAGGAAGAAGACGCCAATTCGATTCTCCTACTGATATGGATGCGCTACCATTTTGCCAATGGTACTGCAATCTTGGTCCATGAGAATGTTTCCAGCTTCAGCACTTGTATTGTTGCAGACGAGGCCTGCGCTGCTGGCTACAAGCACGTGCAAATTAAGACCAACCCCTCTGATGTTGGAGTTCTTCTTGGGAGGCAAAGGAAGCAGCTTGGCAGTTCAAGGGAAACTTGCAGAACTGCAGTAAGCAAATGACCTGCTTCCTGGGGGGGGTGGAAAAAACGTTCCACGAAGGTTGCTATTATACTGGTGGGCCTGCAGTAAGCAGATTCACAATCTGCTTACTGGGGATGCCCCTTCAGGAGTTTCCCTTCGCAACTTTTTGTGCATTTCTGTATTGTCATGTGTTTTCAGTTCTCTTCCACTGAGGTTTGACATCTTCTTCCGTTTGAACATCCTGAAGCAAACTGGTGACATGGAGAACACCTACAATGCTTTGGTGGCCTTCTTGCGTGAACAGCTTCCACAAGTCTCTGCGGCTGACATGTTCTTTGAAAAGGACTTGAATGCTTTGAGACTGGAGATGACACGGGCGGCCAACACGAAAGCCACAGGAGACAGGGTTCCAGGTTGAGGAAACTGCAGTTAGCAGAAACTTAATCTGCTTACTGGGGGGTATATGTGGGTTTGCCTTGAGCTCCTAATTGGCTCAAAGTTTTTTCAGCTGCGCACTGTGCACACATATATATATATATATACATACCTCTTTCATACACTTTCACAGTCACTCGTGACCACAATGGAAAGAAGTTTGGAAGAAATGTGGTGGGACCGGACCCCTTTGCGAGAAGAAGAAAGAACACAACCTGATAAAAAAAAGGACCTTGAAATTGACAAAAATATGGAAAAGGTATCTGAGGCAGCAGGTCCACCTTCGCCCAAAAAAATTAAGGTTGATCACAAAAAGCAGACAATTGAAGCCCATGAAAAGGAATTTGACAAGGAACACTTACCGCCTGAAGCATTCACACCAGGGAGAGTAGATTTGCAACCTTCCAGAATTCTGCACCCTGTGGAAAAAGCAAGGGCCTGGCAGCGGCAAGCCCCACCCAAAAGACCACGCGCACCAGGCCCACTTTAGCCTTCTTGATGTTTCATCAACAACCATATTATTCTTCTATACATATTATGCATATATATATATGTGTGTCCACGCACACAAAGACATGTGATCACAATCAGGCGGGCGCCTTTACTTTTGTTTACATATGCAGTTTCAAGAACATATTTCCTGATTCAAGACTGACAAGCCTCCTGCGGACTTCTTGGTTCAGAGACATCGCAAGCAGATACCTCTATCATTCTCTTTCAAGTCACCAACTCAGTATGACCATGATCTTTGAAGCCATGGTACTGGGTGCATGCTTAGCGTTGCTGATTTCCAACTGCAGCAAGCTGCGGGTGGCAAAAGCCATCATTTGGTGCTTGAATGAAGAGGAGAAGCAGTCCGTTCTGACTTACATTCAGGGTCAAATTTGCAAGGATGATGGGGATGAGCAGTTGTCAAATATGTCCAACTGGTCTATGGTTTCAGGCCAACCTGGCAGTGGCAGTCCGGGTGGCAGTCTGGCTCCGTCTTCCCCCCTTTCTGCATCTGGATCCCCAGGCTTTGCAAAGCAGAATTGCAAGCACCTGCGAGTGACCAAGCGCGGGTCCAATCATTTCCAGTCACGTCTACGATGCAAGGATTGCGGAGAGCTGATCGCAGTCTCCAAGTCCAAAGGCAGCAAAGCGAAGCCTTGAAGTCATCCAGGCCATTGAATGTGTAGAGCGGCTCTCCAATGGGGCTTTTGTGTATTGTTGATGCCAAAGATCAAAAGGATCTAGTACATTATAGCAGCCAGCAACCCAGCAGCTACAAGAAAAAGGTACTGCAGTTGGCAGATGGGAAACACCTGCTTACTGGGGGTGCCTCACAGGGAAAAAAACTGTTCTGAGATATTGCACAACCCAGCACTGTAGGAGCCAGTAGGCGGTTTACAAAGAAAGACTCTGCAGTTAACAGAAGGGTTGGACCTGCTTACAGGGACCCCCTGACAGATTCCTAGAAGCGGTATAGATTCACAATGGATAAAAGTATATTCTGGAGGAGATGCAAGCACCTGCTCTATGGAAGATTGGCGGCCTCTCCTGTCTGAGAGCGAGCAAGAGAACTTGGAGAAGTATGAAGAGATGCCACTTGCAGATATCTATGGTTTGTCATCTATCTTTTTCACAAACACCTTCACAAAACTGCTTTTCGCTAGGGCTGGTAGGGTATGTATCTTTACATTGAAAGACAATTTGTGATCACGCGCGGGTCAAGAGTAAGGTTCAAGACCAAATATGGAACGCCCAATGAGTTCGAGCCAGTCTTTAATTTGGCCCAGTCAGCAGAGAAATGGAAAACCATGACCGCCAATGATGGAAGCATTCCTTGCTTTACTAAGTCATCTTCCTCAAGACTGTTCAACGGCAGATTGAAAAGGTGGCTGACGGCAAGGGAGAAAGCCTGTATTTCTGGCTTGTGCGTGTGCCCCAAGCAGGCCGAGGCTGCTGGCCTTTCCAACCACATTGCTTGGGAAAAAGATCTCCAGTGGCACATGCGGGTTGGGAATGCCCAACAGATCCAGAATGTTGGATGTGTCCTGCTCTCTGTTTTGTCCTGCCTGGCATTGAGGGAGGAAGCTCCATCTTGCATTTTGGACTTTGGCCCGCCATCCCTACCAGAGGGCATCAAGCACCTGGACGACGGTACCATTTTACTGACCATCGCTGGGAAGGCGTGCAAGGTGAAGGACAAGGAACTTGGCGCAAAGGCGCACAAGGATCTACATGTGCCTTGGACCAAGATTTCCGTTTGTCTTGCATTTTGGTTTTAGCTCCTTCAAACAGTGGCCCTAAAGGGAGAGCAGCAAGCAGATGTGCAGATCTGCTTACTGCACCGTGTGTCCTTAAGGCAGGAAAGATCTCCGCATGAAACTAATACTAAATACTAAATACATACATATATATAGTACATGATTCTCTTGCACGTGCCCAATAAGCAGACCTGCACATCTGCTTACTGCACCTTGTCTCCAGGAAAAGAAATTGGCCATCCAGACCTACACCATTGACAAGATGAAGGGAGAGCTGATCGAGGCTGGAGGTGATGCAGGCCAGTTCAACAAGGCAAAAGGGAAGGAGAACAAGAAGGATGCTTTTATGAGGGAGTGGTTCAGGGTGAAGGTTCTCCCAGAACTCGAAGCTGGTGGGAATCTGGATCCATTGCCAAAGAAAGAAGCTGCTAAAGCCGTTCCAAAAGCCAAAGTTGCTTCCAAATCAGCTGCCTTGCCTGATTCAACAGAACCCGGCGTGGGCCTCAAAGCAGATATTTTGCCAGGAGAGGTGGATGAAACTCCAGCCTTGTTGAGCAAGATCTTGCTGCTTCAAGATGAGTGGCTGCAAAAAGTGCTTGATGGCACTAAAGTCCTAGAGTTGAGAAAGGCCAGATTGACGTGCAAGGGGTCAGAAACCATGTACCTTGCGGTGGGGTCCACCATCTACGGTCGCTGCAGCATTACTCCATTGGTGACATTCACTGACACGGTGCAGTTTGCCAAGCTGAAAGACAAGCATTGTTGGGATCAGGATGACCCCCCCTATGCTTTTCCCTTCATTGGCCACGTGCTGTCGCAAGTGCAGAGAGTCAAGCCACTAGACTTTCTCAAACTCAAGGGCTGTCAGGGGAGGTGCTTGTTCAGACCAGTCGGGTGGAAATCTGAGGATGAGGAGTTGGCCAGCCAACAGGAGATAGAGCCAAGTGGCCCAGCCAGCAAGCCAGATGAAGGCTTGGAGGAAGCTAAAAGCGAGAAGAAAAAGCCCAAAGGAAAGGGGCAGAAGAAGAACAAGTGCGACACGGAAGAGCCAAAAGAGCCAAAGACAAAGAAGCCAAAAAGCACCGACATCAAGCTTCTTCCAGCATCGGCACTGGAAAAAGCAGAAGTTGTGCAGATTGACCACAAGAGCCACCTGCTCCCAAGCACAGATCGACTGAAGGCAAAGCGTGAAGTGCTGAAGAAAAAGACCGCCCACATAGATGTTCACATCAGTGGCGGAGCCTTGGCCCACGTGAACAACGTCGCCTTCAAGCGTGCCCCATCATTGACCGGTGCTTATTTGGCAGGCACAACAAATGGGAAATTTGTTGAGGTCAAGGCTGTGTGGGTACCATCTTGGGAATGTCACGGGTCTATGGAGCTTTGGGATCTGGCGTGCAACTCAGAGCTGGAGGAGTGGTTATCCGGGATCGAGATGGAAGTGGTGGGAGTTCTTCTAGTCGTCCCAGAGCTTGAAACACCAGAGGTGTCCCAGTTGCAAGTATTTGACAAGCTCTGGGCGAAAGATGACCCGTCCTTTCTTTTTGGCTTGACAGGCAGCACAAAGCGCTCAACTCTGTACCGTTTGGAAGATGGAAGCCCCAAAGAACTTAACCTCCAAGTGCACTGGACTGGGAAGCAGTCACACTATATTGCCCACATAGTGTCTCAGACAGTTGCAGTGCTGGATGGGATTAAAGAGCATGCAAAAGCTTCTGTGGTACTGGGCGGCAAGCGAAAGGGACTTCCAAACAAAAGTGCCATGAAAGAGTTTTGGAATGCCAAGCGGAGAGCCATCCGACAGCAAGATGAACGGTCATCCTCCACTGGTGCTTTTTCTCAGAACATGAGAAATATAGTAGATGAGCTTCAAAATGTGGTGCACTTCATGACTGAAAGGATTGCCGACTTTACTCCAGGCAAGTGCCCAAACATTGCTACCGAATTTTCCAATCATTTGAATAGCTTCCCGCTGGCCAAGTCAGAAATAGCCAAAGTGAAGTCCATCAAGAATGCACCAGAGGATGTGGCAGAAGCTGGACAATACCTTGCAGCGGTGATGTCCTTGAAAGGTGCTTTGGAACTCCGCTTGGCAAGAAGGGCTTGCAACACTTCTCACACATACGATGGCCAGAAATGGCTACCAAAGCGGTCAGGATCCGCTTCCATGTCATCATCCAGCAAGCGGTCACGGGCAAGCAGCAAAGACACTTGCATGGCAGAATCATCGTACCAGGCGACACCTACCAAGGAGGACAGCCAACGATAAAATAGATCTGGTTTGTGTTTTTATATACTGCAGTAGGCACGCCGTAAAGTTCTGCTTACTGCAGCCCCCATGTTGTTGGATTGCCTGGCACCTCTATATAGTGCAATGAGAAGAAGAACTCCTCGCAACACAGTCAGGATCAACAGGAAGCGCCGCCGCCCATGAACCAGGACTCGGAGAATGCAAAGGCCTGGAAAATTCAAAAATGGAAAACCAGTATTGGTTGTGGGGGGAGCGACCCAATAAACAGAAGTAGGATACGCTTGCTGCAGTT